GGCACAAAGCCCAGCGCAGATGGTCCGGCGCCGTGTATTGCGCGTTTCCTGGAGTCCTGATGGCATGGCCATGATGAGTAGTTTGCGTGAGGTAGGTTTGAAGATGCCCCCACTGGCGATCTGCGAGAAATGTGGTGTGGTACAAGTTCGACCACTGGAACGAAACTGCTGAAGCAACCACGGCCATTGCTTTGAGTGTGAATTCGTCTTCGCCATGCTGGAACCCATCTATGGTCACTATGACATCGATAAACTTAGCCATGATAGTTTGGGACTTCTCGTTGAACTTAAGTAACTCAGCGACTGGAGGCAACAAGTGAGGGGGGAAGGAAAAGGGGTGAACTATATTGCAGAGTAGACAATGAGCGGTCAATAAAAGGAATCACAAAATACGTTTAGGTGGGAGCGAAACTGGAAAGTGCGAAATTTAACAACGTGAAGCGTGATTAGTCTTGCATGGTAGTCCCACGAGTTAACTTCTCTCTTTTTCCAAACAAAGCGTTTGTCATACGAAAATAAAAAGTTTTAAGAAAGGAAAAATGCGAAATTGTGAACCTAAAACAGTGAAGCAATTCTTGTGCTTTGTGACGATAGGTTTTCTCGCACTCTTAATACTGAAAATTTGTCCAAGCTAAAACACATAATTTTTCCCCCTAACATTCCTCCCACCTTAAATCGAGACCCCCCAGTCGAGGGAAAGAACGATGAACGAGGTGATGGATAGAGTCGCCATGTTGTTTTCTTGCTGTGCGATCGTGAGGATTGCCAAAGGACTGTTGTGGCTCAAGGTCTCGAGTGAGCGGGGTTATATGTCATCCTTGGAAATGGAGCAAAGACTTTTTGTGTGTGTGTGTTGTGTTTTTGCTAGTTTTTGTAAAGGAGTAGTCGTTTTCTTGTTAGTTACTGGCCTTGTTTCCTATGAGGGTGACGTCTCTGGAACAGGCGGCGGAGCAACTCCCACTGATGGCGGATGTTCAAAAGAACCACTTGGAGTAATGAACGTGGCGGGCGTAATGGAAGCTGGAGGTCTCGTCTACGTCCACTCATCCAAGGGCTACTGTGGAAGTACTAGAACCGGCCCAAGGGCTCTCCACCAGCTTGTTAGAAGTAAAAACTCTAACACTTGTTGTCTTTATTTTCTCTTACTACTCAAGTTATTACAACGGGGAATAGCTCCGATCTCTCAAGGAAAGTGTGGGTCACCTCCTATGAAGGTGAAGCTTACTGAGCTGTCAATCTCTGACCTTCGTCATGCCATTACACTTAACTAGCGAATCACGCTAAGCTACGCAGAGCGGAGCTCACATACTAAGTAGGTACCTTCGAGTTGCTTACGCTTTACAAAATCATTTTCTACCTTAAACTTCTGACTCTTATGGTAAAAGTAGGTCACAAATTTACACTAAAGGGAAAAAATAACTGTAGAGACCACTTGTCTTGCGATAACAGAAACTCGTCACGATTTCCTGGTACAGGAAGATCTACTTCAAACGAGCCTTTATGGACGTCAGGAATGAGACAGCATTTTGGTTCCACAGTAGAATTTTATTCGTAGAGCACTCTAACATACATCATGCCAGAGTCAAAACTAAACTAGTAATCGTAAAAACCGTACGAGGTACTAGTTTAAGAACTAACTGGTGTGAGGTGCTAATGTTACACAAATATTTCAATAAGAACACATAGAAGCGGAAGATGTCTCTTTAAAAGTAAACGAAAACTACTTAAATATTCCATCTGTTTCTACGACTAAAAGAATTTCAAAATTAAAAAGCCGGATACAATAAACTTTAGACCATTAAAAATAGGAAACTTAGGTGAGAATCCACAGCTCTGATATAGGGAAAAAAACCTATCTTAACTACAGTAGAGCAGCTTAGGAAATAAAAGTGGAAAAGCAATTAGAAATTTCTGCTTATCTATGCAAGGTTGGTGTGGAAACTATCGTATGAAAGCAAATTAAAATTATGAGTATCAACTCAGCTGCCAACTACCATGAGAACCGATTTTCCAGAGAGACCATCAACACTTGTATTTACCTAAAAATTCACCAGTAATGAACAACAAAGGTACCGAATACAGGTATATAATGAAATCAAGAAACGAAGCAAAAATCTCTTAGTTTACTACACAAAAACTACTGTGGCTTTTTTTTGTATATTTTTTTGACTTACTAGAATGAAAAGACTGAAATAACCCGAATGAATTGAAAATGGTTAAATATGGAGAGTTTACGAATATGTCCCAAACAAACACACGGAAGAATCAGCAAATTTTCCCGGAACAAATCTTATAACAGTTTAATCGGAGGTTGATGACGACAGTTTGGACAAGTAGGCGCAATCCCCCGCTTTCTTGTGTTTCAAATCATTGTCGTAAACAGGAGTCAATATGGAGAGGCTGACGGCAACACTGTGTGGTTTCATTTGAGGGAGTCGAGCAGATCAAACAGTTGTTGTCTGAAATGAGAAATAGAACCATTTTAGTTTGATGCTTTCTTACTTTGTGTGAAAGACAACACATTATGCGTTGTAGTAACACTATTAATGGTGAAATTAACACCAAAGCTACAAAGACATGAATGAGATGGGGTTCTCTTGTTCCCGCCTTTTTTACTTTCAATCTCAAAATCACCAACAAAACATAAACAAATAAAGCCTTAGCTGATTAGTTTGTTCAAAAATTGCAGTAACGTTATTGGCAGTCTTGCACTATCATAAACTTTTAAAATGTATCTCTGGAGGAAGAGAAACACATTTAAGCATTCTTTTGGATACTCCACATTACAAACAAAATACAACAACAACATCGTAATCCACCCGGTTCACTCGGAGGAAATGGGCTCACCCCGGAGAAAGAAATTTCCCTTGCTGGGCTCAGCCCACTTCAAAATACATTCTTAGCATTCTCGTTGTCAAACATTCCCAGATTTCCTCTCGGTCGTTCTATCACCAAGAGCTATTTCTCCTTTGTTTTATCCAGCGTGTGTTTTATGGACGGTGGCTTATTTACATAACTTCAAATGAGCGGAAAGCGGCTTAAGCCGTTTTCTTTCGACTACTTTGTAGACAAAAGTGGAAAGAAATCGAGGAAAACTTTTTCGCTAACGGCGGAATCCACGCTTCGTACCCCACGAACCTGTTCAGTTGAAAATGAACAACCTGAGATCGTCGAACCTTTCTCGTTTGAGGAGTTTAGTGAGAGCGGTTCTGGTCTATCTTCGTACGAGAAAAGACATATCGCCAACATCCAGAAATGGGACAACATAAGAAGACAGTTGTTTGATTCTTATGTGGAGGAATGCTGTTTTCCGACTGACACAACATGTGTTTACTGCCTCCAAGAACCAGCAACACTGCGATGTCAATATTGTGGCCCCAAGCAGTACTTCTGCCTTGAATGTGCTAATATTTTGCACAGTGTGAGGAACCATTTTCATGTTTTGGAAAAATGGAAGGTGAGTTTCGAAATGTAATAAGTGGATTGAGTTTGTTGGTTCTCTACTCTGCTCCGAGTGGTTTCCGATCGAACTGCTGTGGGACCAACTTTTGTTTGACATTATTATTCTCGCCCCTTTTTTGTAAGCTGATCTATTGCATATCAGTTATTAAGGAATATATGAATAAAGTAGTTAAAAAAGAACAAAAGTTTTAATTTTCATCCAAATAAAAATTATATGAATATAAACCTGGTGTAATTGTCAAACAAGATCTGCTGCAAGGAAAAACTTGTATCTTCCAAAAGCAAAAACAAATTATGACAAATTCATTATCAAATTCATAGGTACAAAAATATGGAGCTCAGTAGAGAAACTATTACAAACTGTTTCTTCGCTAAAAATGTTTAGAGCTTGTATCAATTCAAGGTAGAAATAAAAATGTTGTTGTTGTTGTGTAACATAGAGTATATTGTCAATTCAGCTGTCATGCTGTCTGTAGTGCAATGAATCAAAATATTCATTGTACCCCTTTTCATGTAGTTCTTATTCTTATTAACCGAGCGGGAGGTCTGTATGGGAGAATCGAGACCGAGATCACCAGTACAGACCGAATACAGTGAGGTCTGTACCAGTGACCAAGGTCAAGATTCTGTCATACAGACTGACCTAGCTCGGTTAATAAGATGTTTATTACATGGCTGTGTCTTATATGCCATTTTTTTATATACTTTTTACCTGTTTTTCCTAGACTGGTCTAGATGCTGGTCTAGATGAGAAAATCTAGACCGCTTTCAACATTGATTTCAGCCAATTGATCAAATTTGTGAATTTGGTAGTTCCCAGTCTTCGTGAGACACAGCCATATAATAATTACTATTTATTAATATATTGCTGGTGTCTCTACTAAAAAGTAAGTAATGTTATTGTATATTTTAATTAATTTCAGGAGGGGATGTTCACCCCTTATGTGGTCAACGGATTACCATTAGGTTTCCAATGCAACTGTGGATCTGCTGAAGCAAGAGACATTGTGTGTATTGATGAGCACGGTATGAGAATGTTTAGCTTTGCACATAGTAATCTGTAATTGAAGAAACTAAAAGGTACTTTATTAACTAAAGATAATGTAGTCATGTACTCTTGTCCTGGTCTGCTGATTAGTATAGATATATGCAACACTGATGACGACCGTATCATCTTCATATATGCTGCGAGCACAAAAAAAGCCAAAACTTCTCATCCTCTCCTCCACTCAGCACAGGAAGGATGACACCACCATCATGCTCTGTGTCATGTTGAACATTGTGCCAAAGCCCCTTCCATGCATCTGTATCAAAATATGTGATGCCGTATGACTGTAGGATCCACATTTCACGATTACTGAATGTGAGATCTACAACCTCGGTTTCTTCTTCTTTTATGACACCACCACCACTAAGTGCACGCCTTGACACTCTGTCTCCAGCAATATGGGCTAACAGGGATGCCAGTATTTGTTGAGTTGCTTCTGTTGGGATGGGCTCTTGTTCAATTGGAGTCTCAACAGCATCATCACTATGTCCTTGCAATGGGGCTGGTTTGAAGATGATGCTTTCTTTAGCCTCAAGAATTCTCCTCATTTGCATCCCGCCATACATGAAAGGCTTCCGAAAAAGGCAAATCTTCAGGAAGTCCCTCAACCTCAAAACCACCCTTGAGGTATGGCACTCTTGAAGGTTTTCCAACCATTTGACCTAAAGGTAATGAGAAAACTAAGTCAGCATATAATAATTATGTGTGCATATGGATTTCATCATACAGGTGTTATTTTTGATGATTACAATACATTCTTCATGATCTTTTAATGGTAGCTAACATACATCATATTCATGATTCATACATGCACTTACAAACTCTCAAGAGAATTTTAACCTAAAAACAAGCTTCTGTATATAATAATTCTGTTTCTGTTGTGAATAGTCTATCAAAGAAAATATATGGGTAAGCAAATAAAAAGTTGAAGTTGAAAAACGAATTGATTACTACCAGTATTTGTGAACCTGTTCTTTTTTTTGCAATTTTAGCACTAAGATTTCGGAGAATGTAATAGTTTTCTAGGGCTGTTGAGACTTCCCAAAACTCGCCTATTTTGATGAAAATATTGTCTGGTGTATCCTTTTAGAGTTTTTTTGTGATATAGTTAGCATAACTCCATAGATACCCCTGATAACAATCATCTAAAGGCTTTCAATTGGCTGTACCATTAAAAGCAACTATAGAATGATTAAGAAACCTGTATCACTGAGAACAGAAAGTTTTATATAACATTGGAGGACCTCTAATAATTATTCACTATGGCTTGCCCTTATAGGAAAATAGCAATATGACATCATTAACATTTTTGAGTAATTATGATATTAATGATAATGTAAAAGCTAATATAAATATTCTCAAACCATAACAAGATTGAGTATATTGGTGGTATTTAATGATGTTGGTCCCAAGACCCAAACAACAATATCTTTTATAACATTTATGAATAATAATGTAGACTTTATAATAATTAACTAGTGGGGTATACTCCATGTGGACTTGAAAAGATTTAAAAGTGCTTGATTAGTATATAAAGCTATACTCTGAATGTGAAAGAAAAAATTGAAATGGATTTGAATAGTCAATACCCTGTTATTTGACACAGAGCTTGAAACCATTCCAACTTTTTTTGCATTCCAGCACAAACCTTTTCATTAATAACTATTAGTTAATTATCTGCGAGTGTGTACTCTCATATATTTGCTATGATAGCCAATATATGGGATTACACACTCCCAGAGAATTAACTAATAATTATTAATGAAGAGGTGTGTGCTGGAATCCAAAAAGTTGTAATCACAAAAACGTGCATGGAATGGAATCACACAAATGCATGCATACAATAATCATTGCAATCTTACTGTATTTTTGGTTGAATAGTGCTGTTATGTCTTTATATGTAACATCTTTGTTGTCTGCACCTGTAAATAAACATAATTTAGATGTTACTAACTACTCCGAGGGGATATTCCAACTGGTTTAGGGAATATGGGTGCTCCACAGGATCCTGATAATATTACCCTTGTGACAAATAAAAATATTTTTTGATAATAACCTATCAGATCCGAAAGAGTTTAATTCTTGGGTGGTGGTCACTGTAATTGAGGATAGTTGGTTATTTAGCATTGTAATGGTATGTGTATACCCTGAATTACTTGACAGGAACTGTAGACAAAGTTGGAAATGTAGTTCAAAAGGATACCCTATTTATGACTCAAAGCTTAAGCTTGAAAAACCATACCCTGTTCTGCAGATCATTCCCATATTCCGGAAGTCAGTATATGGCACAACCCCCAGCATCTTACAATTTACTCATGAAACTTTATTACATGTGACCTACATGGAGGTGTTAGATTTTGCAGAACTCAAACAATAGTGCAGAAATACTGCAAAAAATTAGTGAAAAGCTTACCACCAAAATGGCTTTTGAATTTAAACATCAACTCGGGATTCCTTGACAAAAAGTCTTGACCTGCAGGGGATCCAAAACCAAACAACTGTCCATCAGGATCTTTTTGTAGTACCGCAGTGCAACAGCCATATCCATCAAGAATGTTTACCTATAAGAGACAGTTCAACAGTTTCAAATGAACAGGCAAATATATTTTCAGCATTATGAAATAATGATGGAGTTAACAAGAAGCTTATTTAAGCTGACAGGAAAGAATTTAACAACTCGATGATTAAGGATTTAATTCTGCGACTACTTTATTCTTTTTTCCTTCTTTCTTCCTCTTCTCCAACTTTCTATACTTCAATCTTTGTTTTTTACCGTATTCATATGGATTTTTTTTCTCTTTGTTCGTTTTTTATGCAAAATTTATATGCTCAATTACTAACAGGATCTATCGATGTGGGGATCTGAAGTTTAACTTTTCACATTTGCCCCGACCCGTGTTGTTGAAGTATTTTGAGAACTGATTGAAATAAGTCAATGGAATCAATGTGGAATATAATATTTTGACACTCGTCAAACGCCGAGGAATTGAAAATAATATAATATGACTCACCAGCTTAATTATTTGATCTCTTATCTTTTGACGGTCCTTTCAATATCTTCGGGATTCAACTCGCCCGCTATATTCTGCGAACTCTTATATAAAATTTTTTCTTCAGCAGTGAGTTTCGCCCACTTTTGGCAGCAAACGAATTTCTTTCTACCATAGAAAGGTTTCGACACTGATCTAGAATTTAAATACAAAGTGTGCATGAGCGTTTAGTTTAATTACTCTCTTGTTTAGCTCTAAACTACTTTTCCAATTACTAAAGAACGACAAAACCCTACTCGATCAAGCATAGCTTGGATTAATTTCACTTTGAAAAGAAACATAAAGTTTAAAACGGGTTTAACTTCTGTGTTGTTTGTTCGTAATATTATGAATGGCGTAGAAGAATATTTCATAAACTTTTACCTTTGTTGAACAGCTCCTTACAAAAGTTATTGTATGACGTGGGAGCTCGTATGCAGGGGATGCTGTTTTACGCTTTTTGCTGACGGTGCGGTATCTTGATCACTCGAAGTCGAACTTGCCGCTGCTTTTCTCTTCTTTCGTTCGCTTCCAATCCAATTCTAAATATTCAATCAAAAATAAAGAACTAATAGTAAATCGAATCGGTTTTTATTGAATTCAAAAGTGTATAACTAATTTATTTAATAGTAAAAACGCTTGGAAGATGTCACTACGGTGCGTGACATTCGCGGCAACCACCAGTAAAAGGGTCCGAAACACACGCCTTACCAGCGAGATGACAGAAAAGGATCCAAGCAACATTCCATATTTACGCTACTATCTAACATAAATATATGGAATCTATAAAAGCATTTTAACCAATAAAGTCTTACCTTTACAGTTTCCTTAGTCACTTTGGCTTCTGCACTGGCCTGTTCAATGAGATCGTTGTGGGCTTGACCCTTTCCAGTCATGCCTTGGTCAAAATACCGAGACAAAATGGATCTTTGAACATCAGTTAACAGATTATTTTTCCTTGATGAAGCCATGATTAAACGATTGGTACAATACTTAAGTCACGATTGACTATGATCTAGATTAGCTATGGTCACGATCAAACGCTGGATAGAGGATATGCGATCTCTTGAGAAAGATCAGCTCTTGTTGACATGGTAACAGAACGACCGAAATGAAATCTGGGAATGTTTGACAACGAGAATGCTAAGAATGTATTTTGAAGTGGGCTGAGCCCAGCAAGGGAAATTTCTTTCTCCGGGGTGAGCCCATTTCCTCCGAGTGAACCGGGTGACTGGAGGCAACAAGTGAGGGGGGAAGGAAAAGGGGTGAACTATATTGCAGAGTAGACAATGAGCGGTCAATAAAAAGAATCACAAAATACGTTTAGGTGGGAGCGAAACTGGAAAGTGCGAAATTTAACAACGTGAAGCGTGATTAGTCTTGCATGGTAGTCCCACGAGTTAACTTCTCTCTTTTTCCAAACAAAGCGTTTGTCATACGAAAATAAAAAGTTTTAAGAAAGGAAAAATGCAAAATTGTGAACCTAAAACAGTGAAGCAATTCTTGTGCTTTGTGACGATAGGTTTTCTCTCACTCTTAATACTGAAAATTTGTCCAAATTAAAACACATAATTTTTCCCCCTAACATTCTTCCCACCTTAAATCGAGACCCCCCAGTCGAGGGAAAGAACGATGAACGAGGTGATGGATAGAGTCGCCATGTTGTTTTCTTGCTGTGCGATCGTGAGGATTGCCAAAGGACTGTTGTGGCTCAAGGTCTCGAGTGAGCGGGGTTATGCCATTCTTGGAAATGGAGCAAAGACTTTTTGTGTGTGTGTGTGGTGTTTTTGCTAGTTTTTGTAAAGGAGTAGTCGTTTTCTTGTTAGTTACTGGCCTTGTTTCCTATGAGGGTGACGTCTCTGGAACAGGCGGCGGAGCAACTCCCACTGATGGCGGATGTTCAAAAGAACCACTTGGAGTAATGAACGTGGCGGGCGTAATGGAAGCTAGAGGTCTCGTCTACGTCCACTCATCCAAGGGCTACTGTGGAAGTACTAGAACCGGCCTAAGGGCTCTCCATCAGCTTGTTAGAAGTAAAAACTCTAACACTTGTTGTCTTTATTTTCTCTTACTACTCAAGTTATTACAACGGGGACTAGCTCCGATCTCTCAAGGAAAGTGTGGGTCACCTCCTATGAAGGTGAAGCTTACTGAGCTGTCAATCTCTGACCTTCGTCATGCCATTACACTTAACTAGCGAATCACGCTAAGCTACGCAGAGCGGAGCTCACATACTAAGTAGGTACCTTCGAGATGTTTACGCTTTACAAAATCATTTTCTACCTTAAACTTCTGACTCTTATGGTAAAAGTAGGTCACAAATTTACACTAAAGGGAAAAAATAACTCGGTAGAGACCACTTGTCTTGCGATAACAGAAACTCGTCACGATTTCCTGGTACAGGAAGATCTGCTTCAAACGAGCCTTTATGGACGTCAGGAATGAGACAGCATTTTGGTTCCACAGTAGAATTTTATTCGTAGTGCACTGTAACATACATCATGCCAGAGTCAAAACTAAACTAGTAATCGTAAAAGCCGTACGAGGTACTAGTTTAAGAACTAACTAGTGTGATATGCTAATGTTACACAAATCACAATATTTGAATAAGAACACATAGAAGCGGAAGATGTCTCTTTAAAAGTAAACGAAAACTACTTAAATATTCCATCTGTTTCTACGACGAGAAGAATTTCAAAATTAAAAAGCCGGATACAATAAACTTTAGACCATTAAAAATAGGAAACTTAGGTGAGAATTCACAGCTCTGATATAGGAAAAAAAACCTATCTTAACTACAGTAGAGCAGCTTAGGAAATAAAAGTGGAAAAGCAATTAGAAATTTCTGCTTATCTATGTAAGGTTGGTGTGGAAACTATCGTATGAAAGGAAATTAAAATTATGAGTATCAACTCAGCTGCCAACTACCATGAGAACCGATTTTCCAGAGAGACCATTAACACTTGTATTTACCTAAAAATTCACCAGTAATGAACAACAAAGGTACCGAATACAGGTATATAATGAAATCAAGAAACGAAGCAAAAATCTCTTAGTTTACTACACAAAAACTACTGTGGCTTTTTTTTGTATATTTTTTTGACTTACTAGAATGAAAAGACTGAAATAACCCGAATGAATTGAAAATGGTTAAATATGGAGAGCTTACGAATATGTCCCAAACAAACACACGGAAGAATCAGCAAATTTTCCCGTAACAAATCTTTTAACAGTTTAATTGGAGGTTGATGACGACAGTTTGGACAAGTAGGCGCAATCCCCCGCTTTCTTGTGTTTCAAATCATTGTCGTAAACAGGAATCAATATGGAGAGGCTGACGGCAACACTGTGTGGTTTCATTTGAGGGAGTCGAGCAGATCGAACAGTTGTTGTCTGAAATGAGAAATAGAACCATTTTAGTTTGATGCTTTCTTACTTTGTGTGAAAGACAACACATGATGCGTTGTAGTAACACTATTAATGGTGAAATTAACACCAAAGCTACAAAGACATGAATGAGATGGGGTGCTCTTGTTCTCGCCTTTTTTACTTTCAATCTCAAAATCACCAACAAAACATAAACAAATAAAGCCTTAGCTGATTAGTTTGTTCAAAAATTGCAGTAACGTTATTGGCAGTCTTGCACTATCATAAACTTTTAAAATGTATCTCTGGAGGAAGAGAAACACATTTAAGCATTCTTTTGGATACTCCACATTACAAACGAAATACAACAACAACATCGTAATCAGTGCCTCTGTGTGTGCCCCCCATTTATCTTTATTAGGAGTTCTTGCTCCCCCCCCAACAAGAATGAGGCAAACACTGACAAAAACATTTACTGAATCTGATATTGTGGAGTTTGTTAAAAACTATTGATATCCCCTGTAAATTATCATTAACTGTTTTTAAGTAAATACGTAAATATTAAACATTATTAAATAAATATTAAGAATAATGACTAGCACTTATCTCTTTTTGATCAAAAAGAAAAGGGTATTTACCGTTAATCTCAAGTAGTGGAACTGGTTATTTAGTCAGGTATTCCCTTCTAAACAAATACGCGAGGTCCATCTTTGGAGTCATCAAGGAATACCTTTTTGTTTTCTTTGCTTCTGTTTGCATCCAGTTGACATGTTTCTCTTGGGATGCATTATCCTCTTCCTCAATATGTGGTGGGGCCTATTTCACTATCTCCCTTTGCAGTCCTTTGGCTGGCTTCGCTTTTTTAAGGCTCCCATCTCGATTCTTGCGTTTGTGAGACATCACCACTGCATCAGCAACATCATCTTAGCATTCATTTTGCACTTGTCAGTTTATATTCTATACCAACTTTCCTGTTTTTGAAGGAGAATGATTACACCAAATTTCCCCTTTTACAAGATTAATCACCTTCAAAAAGCTCAAGTTGATAAAAACTACGTAAAAGGCCATGATAGGCGACGGTTACAGTTTAACACGAATTACAGTTACGATCTAATAACTGTTTACAGCTGACTGTATTGGAACTGGTAGCATTTACTCATTGCTGAACTGAAGCAAAATCCCGCAATTTCAACGTTGAATTTTATATAATAATAATAATAATAAGGACTTTATTTATAGAGGGGGACACGTAACAGCTGAAAAGCTGACAAACCTGTGGCCCTCTAACTAGATTATACAGCATTACAAAATAATACTAATAAATAGATAAATATACAAATAATTACAAAATTCTATGATAGAAATAGCAGGATATATTAAAAATATTCAGAAAGATAAAATTAATTTATAAAAAATTAAAATTAGATAATGTGCTATTGCTTAATATTGTTTCAAAGTTGTCCAGGTTTCTATATGAGCTTATAAAATACTTTTTCACAGCTGTTTTGAATAGTTTTATACTAGGCTTATTTTTGATATTATGGGGAAGGCTGTTCCATAACTTAACTGCGTCAACACTGAATGCCTTGCCACCATCGTTATTTCTTAGGTATTTGGGACACACTAAATTTAAATTGCCATGTCTAGTAGACCTATTGTGTACAGAACTGTTCGTCTTGAGCAAGTCTCTGATGTAAATCGGAACATCGCCTTTAAGGCTCTTAAAAAATCATTGTACACTTATTTAGTTTGATTTCATCAAAAAAGGCAACCAGCCTAGTTTACTAAAGTTTATAACACTTCTAGAATAAGAGTCAACTCCAAGGATTACTCAGGCAGCCCTTTTCTGTAACCTTAGGAGACAGTGGAGTTCTTTAGCGTCGCAGATATTCCAAACCATGCTCCCATACATAAGGACGGGTTTAATCAAGGCGTTATAGTATAAGAGTCTTTCTTTTATTGGAAGGTACCTCTTTATCTTCTTCAATAAACCAATACGCTGAGAAAGCTTGGCCTTTAGACTAGAAATGTGGTCGCTAAATGTAAGATCTTGATCGAGTGTTACACCAAGCAATTTATAAGAAGTTACTTGTTCTATTTCGGCCCCATCAAGGGTTATTGACAGGTGATTGCCTTCCGCTAATGATGAATGTAGCCTCTTTCCGGTGATAAGTAATGCATTGGTTTTAACGGCGTTTAGGACCATCCCATTTTCGCTAGACCATTTACTTAATTTATCCATGTATTCTTGAAGACGTCGTTCCAATTCCAAAGGTGCATTATCGATATTAGCGCTGGCTTTAAATGTGGTGTCATCCGCGTAAGCATGAATAGTTGAGTCCGATCCAACAGCTTCGGGAAGATCATTGACGAAAATTAAAAACAGTAGAGGTCCTAATATGCTACCTTGAGGAACTCCATTGGTTAGCGTAAGTTGTGACGAAGTCGAGTTATTTACAGTAACACACTGTTTGCGATTGAGTAGATAGCTCTGCAATAGCTTTACAACATTATCTGGAAATCTATATGATCTTAACTTTATCAGGAGAATGTCATGATTGATCAAGTCGAATGCCTTGCTATAGTCCACAAAAACTAAGCCGCTGACGTTGTTCTTATCAAGGTCAAGAAGGACTTGGTCCAGAAGAAACAACAAGGCAGTATCCGTGGAGTGGTTTTTACGGAACCCTGATTGGAAGCGGTATAAAAGTGAATTTTCTGTTAAGTAGGTGTTCACAGCATTGAAGATGTGTCTTTCAAAGACTTTAGAAAGAATAGGCAAAATGCTAATAGGACGATAGTTTTGAATATCTTGCTTGTTTCCTTGATTCTTGAAAAGATAAATTAGTCATATATATTTATATGATATATATATATATATATATATATATATATTTTTAGCGCAAGCATAAAAACTTGACAGCTAAAGATCCTATCATTACATTCCTCCCACCTTAAATCAAGACCGCTCGGTCAAGCGAAAAAACCAGAAAGTATAGTAAAGCAACAGAGAGAGATTCATTAACAAGGAACCTAAAAGCACAGTGAAGAAAACATATGATGGTTGATTTTTTGTGTTTTTGTTTGTTTTTGAATTTTGTATTTGATTTTTTTTTGTGCCTGAACCGTGGCATAAACTGAACAAGCTGACATATAATGGCTTTGGGGGGCTCACAGGAAACAAAAAGAAAGGTCAAAAATGGAATTAGGTCAAATATAGTGTTATTACATAGTACATATATATACAAAGTTATTGACGATACAGAAAATATCGCATTCCACTACTGTACGTGGTTTTAGTGTTCCTTGACCTAAGCAGTAAGTGAGATGGATGTATGGATCACTTGCAGTTTAGAGTCACCTAAAGTCGTAAAAGTTGGTTTCAAGACTTCAAGAAAGATTTCAGGCCAACAGTTAACACAACTGTATGTTGACGTTCCTGTTGTTTCAGCTTGCTTCCATTTACACCAAGAGGGTTCATCTGGTGGTCAAAATCGATGCTGTTTTGCAAGGTTATCTGACTTAGCATCGTTGCAATTCTCCATAATGTTTTTTTTCATTGCATAGACTGCAACCTCCACCTCCCTTCTTGCTGGATTAGATTTCCTAATGGTGTTTTGCCGAATTGCAAATTCATAATATTTCTTAATTTTTGCATCGGACAGTCTCCCTATGCCGCCAATAGGTTCTGGCCTCTTGGTTCAACAGATGTTTTTTTCTTGTACATGTTCCATACAGTCTAATTTCTCCACTTTGATGGCACCATAAACATTTTTTATAGAATTAAAGGCCTTACTATCGCCATCACTCACTATCAATCTGTACCGTAGGTTATGGTGTTCCAGTGACCTTTCCCACAAGACTACAGCTCCTTCACACTCCATTGCTGGTGAGCTACCAGCAAAGTTAATGTCACATCGATGTTCCAATAACCACTCCTCAAATTCTTCTTCACTTAAACCTTTTGCTTTTTTTAATACAATACAATAAGAGTTTATTGTGAAAATACACTTAGCTACAATAATGGTGTGCTTTCACAGGCAGGCAATAACACATTCTTTTCTGTGCTCAATTCTAATGTCTTTATCTTGGCTAGGACTTCGTCGGTATCGACCGATTCGACTTCGCACTTCTCGTTTTTACAGTTGCTCTCGTTCAAAGTAAATGAGCCAGTTTCTTTAAAGAAGGAGTCCGATAGTTTAGGCAGAGAGCAGAAAGCACATGTCCATTCCAAGTCGGGATGTTGTAGGTAGTATTTGAACCCGGTAACGGTTAATTTGAGACATTTTGCGTGGGACCAAGTATCACAAGACGAGCACAAAATGGCGTCTTGGTTCTTTCTCACTGGCTTACTACACTCGCCGCATGGAAACTTGGGCTTATCTTTGCCTTTCGCAGGGCCAGGGTTAGACGATATATCGCCGCAGACGAGGAGGTCCCGTTGTATTTGGAAGATACTCGCGCCGTTCGCGCTGTACTGAACTCTACCAGCGAAATATCGGTTCGCTCGAGAACGACGTATGAAAGGAGCGTTGACCACATGCTTTTCTAGGAAGAACGCTTCTGAAGCCTTGAATCTGCGTTCCACATGCGAATACGGACAAAGAGTATCCTTATATTCAAAAGTTAGGTCAGGCAATACCCGGATAATAACGCAGAGGGCAAGAATTAAGCCAAAGTTACGAGCGCTCAACATTCCGTGTGTCCTCGTGGACATAATGACCTTCAAGCCGTCGCCGGTGTCTAGGTGGAGAACCATTAGTTAGAGAGTGAATAACTTTACTATTCTGCCTGTACCTGTGGTCTCTTCGGGTATACTCTTCTCATGGACAGTGATGTGAATTTAAACCAGTTCGTTTCCTTGTTTTTTGATCTTCCGACGAGAGAACAAAGTAGTCTAACGTAGTAGTCTAAGTAGTCTTGAAAGGACATGATAGTCCAACACTTCACCAGTGTCCACTGAAATGATGCAAACCACTCCAGTTAAGGAGGTTGTTGGAAATCCCGGTACTGCAACACTAGTCACTCGCGCAGTTTTGATTCACTTTCTTTATTCACAGTTGTCACTCCCTTCGTCTTGCGTCGATCCTAACTTCTTATCACAAAAACCACAATATCCTAAAAACACCCTCGTCTACGGTTACCACCCCTATGGAAAAGAGAGGTGTAATTACTATACTAACTGGGATAAAGAAATAGCAGACCGCTTTTTGTCTGCATTTTACGAGTTAGATAATAAATAACAGTCGCACATATCACATTTAAAAAGTTTTATTAGTTACAAAAATGGTGTGCAATAAAAAGTGTTGCATAATGATTGTCGCTGTTGTAATTAGTATTGAGCCATGTAAATCCATCTAAGAGTGGTGGTTCTGCGTCGTCTACAAACCCGAAACCGAAATAGCCATGAAAACAGGATTATTCATAGGTAGCGTATCAATTACAATACTTCGCCCATCGCCACACAGGCCATCGATAAAATAAGAGCACCATAGTTTTGTTTGAAAACCACTTTAGCCACCTTTATTAAAAGACAAAAAAGAAAATGTGTTAACTTAGAACGAAAAGAAAAACCTACAGGTACTACAGGTACTATAGGGACTATAGCTACTACAGGTACTACAGGTACTACACAGCTCCTGCGGGTACCATGGGTACTACTACAGTACTAATAGTATGGGCGGTGGCCCGGGACATTTTGGGCAGTCTGTGACGATAGGTTTTCTCGCCCAAACTGGAAAACTGAATCTTCGCGGACGGCACAATAACAACTGGGGGAAATAACTCTGTAGAGACGACTTGGCAGCGAGAACGGAAACTCGTCACGATTTCCTGGTACACGGAGATCTACTTCGAGCGAGCTTATACGGACGTTAATGATAAGACAATCTTTGGTTCCACAGTACTTTTATTCTAGGTCAGGCCAACAAGCGACATGACCTCTAGCATACTCTAGTTTGTAATCATCGAAGCTGTACAAGGTACTTGCTTAAGAAGTAACTGGTGTAAAGTGCTATTGTTACACAAATCGCAATATTTGAATAAGGACACAAAGGAGCGGAAAAAAGTCTCTTTGAAGCTAAACGAAAACTACTTAAATATTCCATCTGTTTGTACGACGGATAGAATCTCAAAATTAAAAAGACGGATGCAATAAACTCTAGGCCATTAAAGTAGGAAACCTAGGTGCGAATTTACAGCTCTGGTATAGAAAACAATACCTATCTTAATTGCAGTAGCGCAGCTCAGGAAATAAAAAAAACGGAAAAGCAATTAAAAATGTCTGCTTATTTATGCAAGATAGGTTGGAAACCATCGCATGAAAAGAAATTAAATTTACGCGTATAAACTCAGCTTCTATCTACCATGAAAACCAATGTTTCCAGAAAGACCATTAACACTTATATTTACCTAAAAAACCCACGAAATAAAAAGCAAAAGTGCCAACAACCAGGTGCATAGTAAAAGCGAGTAATCGATAAAAATCCATTCTAAAAGCCACTGTGGTTTTTGTACATTTTATTTAACTACCAAAAGAAAAAACCCGAATAACCGAATATTCCAAATGTGAAAGTATATGAATATATTTTTAAGATGTTTATCCCAAAACCCACGAAAACCCTAAATACAATATTTTGTGATATATCAACAATTTACTTTTCCCGGTTATAACTAATTTGAATAACAACAATTTGAATAGAACAACTCGTTCATCATTCTTTACCGCTCAACCGGTCGAGTAAAAGAACGAACAAAATACAGAACTGGGTCTAAACCGATAAATAAATTTAAAAATGTGTCCTAAAACTAAAATACATAATTTTTCTCCCTAACATTCCTCCCACCTTAGATCGAGACCTCCCGGTCGAGGGAAAGAACGATGAACGAGGGAACAAAAAGTAACGATTGCAAATACGGAAATACAAGGACGAAAGTCTAGATAGAAAACGTTCCTAGAGGCCAGGTTATGGCCGTAAAGTGAGGCAGTTAAGCGAGACCTTGCTCAGCGAGCCAGCGGGCAAGTCGTACAGCTTTCTGGCAGATTGACCAGGGTTGGGTTGCCGGACAGAGCTGCGTAAGTGGAGGGCAGTGCAGGTCTTCCAAGTTCTTTATGTGGATGCGGAGCTCTGGAGAATGGATTTGGTGCAGGAGGTCTGCGAAAAGATGGACCTTTTGAAGGCCCTTGGTCCACAATATGAGCGTAGCCGGAATGGCGTTTCCCGCCTCCATCCAATCGAGCATGGTGACCTGAAGGAAGGTTTGGAGAACGACGCCCGTAGATGTGGATGGTAAGCCCGTGGAATGAAGTGGAAACCCATGATGGGCCGTCTGGTACGCAAACGTTCGGAGTGCAGCTGCACTGTCCGGTACAATACGAGTACTGTCGAACACACGGCTGCCCGAAGACCGCGTCCTCGGACAGGCGAAGGCCAGGGCCTTAACCCTTTTCCTCCCATGGGTATGGTAATTAATTTTCGCAAAAAAGACAACACCGTAAATAAATGGTTGTAAGTTGAGCTACATTTAGTCAATTTTCATATATCATAGCTCATATCATAGACACGGGGCAGCCATCAAATGTGTTTCGTATGACATCGGCGTGGATGCCCATCGCCACACAGGCCATCGATAAAATAAGAGCACCATAGTTTTGTTTGAAAACCACTTTAGCCACCTTTATTAAAAGACAAAAAAGAAAATGTGTTAACTTAGAACGAAAAGAAAACACTAAAAATCCATCAAATTACTAGAAAGTCATAGTGTACTACACAATTGGGAACTGACAGTAATCAATATCACGCGGAATAAACAGAAGAACTGTTCCTAAACAATAAGAAACATCATTGCATATGACACTTACTGGCAAAATGTCCTTTACTGGCTGGACAGAGAAGGGAACTTTTACTTCCACTTTCCTTCGTTCCGGTACATAAACAAATTTACGATTTTCCTTCTCTATCAGGTTCCCACGTTCATCAACGTGTACCTACAAGATATAACCAAAGTGATAGGCGACGTTTGATTAATCAATTTGGGCAATTTGAGTCGGCATTGTCATAAATGAAGTAAATGAACATGAAGTGGCGGGGTAAGGGGCATTCCCATATATGGCCTAGCCGGGTAATGGGGTGCCACAGAACAGAATATCGGCGCAAAGATACCACCCCAAATATTAGGGGGCACTTCCCCACCTTGCTGGATTATTAGCAACAACAACAACAACAAAACGAAAGCAGATTGGCAGATTGGCTCATCAGAAAAAACCCATTTGGATATGGTTGAAGCTTTCTCCTAAATGAGATACAGAGCCATAAGCGATACCTGAATGGGCAAATACGGTGACTTTCCGTCCCAAACAACTTAACATATACAGGGCCACAGAAAGACGGGAAAACTTGTAGTAAGAGGTTTTCTCGCCATGTTGTCTGGACTTACACAAAATAAACAACTGTAATCAATTAATTCACTAAAGGAATAAAGAAAAACGACATGTCCGTACCTCTTCTGAGAGAACGAATACATTTTCATCGACCAGATTGGAATTGGTCTTTCCAATAGCTGTTGTCCCGACGCGTGACACGTAATCCTCGCTCTCTTGGAAGTTATTTATTTCTTCAACTAGAACCGCCTTAAACATATTCTCGCTCAGCGAACTGACGAGGCCACCATGACCTTGATTAGTTAGGGCACTGTTTGCATACCTAACAAATTCCACCTGTTTTGGGTTAGCAGTTATGAAAGCGTGGTACCTAATGGAGATCAAAAAATATATGATTGAACCCACGATATTTTCAAAGACCCATTAAAAGACAATATTGTCAGCGTTTACGGAGCCATAACCATTCAATTTCATTGAGGTTTTAATTTGCAACGGTTTCTTCGCATTTTCCTAAAATTTTTCTTACATTTGGACTTTTTTCCACCCTTACCGTGAGTTCATGCATAATTTTCTTTACAATACGACTGCCAAAGCAATGTCTACAGGGTACATGTCTTCACTGTTGAGCTGGGTGAGAAAGTTCAGAAAGTCGGCCGCGCAATTCTCCCCGTAGTAGGTTTCGAAGGTATAATCTTCAGAGGTGAGGGCGCAGACCAATACGGGGATGTGTGTGTTATCTTCCGCTATCATAGATTCAAAATCAGCATAGACGAAGATGGGAGGTTCTTCGTACACCGAGGCCAAGGGATTTTTTTTTCTATGGCGTTTCAGGGTTGCTTTGGTTTTTTTCTTTCTTTGATCTTCTTTGGCTGCCACAGGTTGAATAAAGCATTTGTGTTCTGTAAGTTTTACATATTCATGGCATACGGAGCATTTGTCAAAGTAGTATTGGTGAGGTTCTTTTGACGCTGAGGTTTGAAACTCCTTACGACACATAGGGCATTGAACAAGGCTGTCGCAGATCTTTTTCTCCTTATGCATGTCATAACACGTCTGACTGTAGAACTTTCGGCAACAAGAATAACAGGGTACTTCACGCAAGGCATAATCAGGTTTTGCGCCAAATTCTACTTGTTTGCATGCATGACATCTTCGACCCTCACATGGATGATGTCTGAAGTCATTATGATCAAATCCCTTGTTGCACTGATCGCAAAAATAGGATCGTTCTAGAAAACCAGCGTAAGATGTGCAAGTGTCATAGTGACCAGTCTCAGAGTCATCGTGTTTCTGGAGCAAGAGGCGGATAATATGCGGTGCTTCTGGGCCTACAAATACCATCATGTAGGGGTAGGAAGTTGCCATCACTTTCAATTGGT